AGTAGCTGGCACAGAGGAGGAGAAATCACAACTGTCATTGGAACAAGAGAATCCTGGCATATCCCATCGGCCAAGCCCTGGCCGGGATTGTTTCCAGAGGTGGGCTCAACTCCATCTCTTCTGGACCCTGCTAGAATGAGCATCCTAGTGCACAGATACAAGCCTGAACTTGCTCCTTAACTTTTCATGGCTCCCTACTGCCCTCTGGATAAAGCCTAAATTCTTTAACTTGACCAACAAGGCCCTGCATGGACAGGCCCTGTGACTTCTCTATCCTTGCTTGAGGCCTCTTACTGTACTCTACCCACTCCCAACCCCCAGCCTACGGCCACACTTAACTGTGGTCAGTTCCTCCAAAGCCTGGTGTTTCTCTGGCCTCTAGTAGTGGAACTTCTACCTCACATCCTCCTTACCTGGCTATTTCTGCATATCCTTCAAGTCTCTCTTCGGATGCCACTTCCAGAGGCCTTCCCTGACTGACCTTGAGGTCTCCCTAGTTCCCCCAGCAGCTCTGGCTTCTCTCTCAGTGCTCAGCTCTCTACCTTGTTATTACTTGTCTGTCTTTCCAACAAGGTTATGAGCAGGAACTCAATAAGTATCTGCTGAATTAATGAATGAAAGCGGGGGCAGTTCTAAGAAAAAAAGGAGTCACTGTACACTAGCCAAATGTCTCCACAGGTATCTATGTCAGCAGGGTAGGATCTCAGTAACCATAAGTTGAAGAGGAGGAAACTGAGTCTAAGGTAATCTCACCTTGCCTGATCTCCAATTGCTGAGCACCCATGGGCAAAGACCCAGGCAGTGTGGGAAGGTGTGCTGGCTAAGAACAAGGGATGTTAGGCCAATCACACCAGATGACAGGGCATTGAGATCTTGAAGAAGGGCTTAATCTTTGGGACCTCAGTTCTTCACAGGGCAGCTACAGGGTTAAAGGGAGTAATGTGGTCAAGTGCCCAGCATGGTGTCCAGTACACAGCAGAGACTCAGCAAGTATTTACTGACTCAAATCTCTGTCTGAAGGATGGGAGGCCCAGAAAGGGTCCCTGAGCTGAGACGAAGAGAGCAGGACAGAGCCCTATCCCTTATTCTCCCACTTCAGGAGCCAGTGTCCTTGTGAGAGGATCCCTGAGCTGAGACGAAGAGAGCAGGACAGAGCCCTATCCCTTATTCTCCCACTTCAGGAGCCAGTGTCCTTGTCCTGTGGGCCCCCTCAGCCCAGTGCCGGCACATGTGAGGTGCCTGGCCAGGGCTTGCTGGACGGGGAAGCTCCAGAAGGGGCTGTTGTGGTTGAGATCTCTGCAGCCAAGCTCTACTGTAAGAGGTGGGAAGGGCCCACTGAGGTCACTCCAAAAAAGTCCAAGGTTTTTTCCTTCTCTCTGAGACCCATCAGTAATCTATTCATCCCCAGCTAACCGTTCCCCTATCGCCCCTACTCCTCTTCCATGGGGCTTGGAAGGTGGGAAAGGGGGGTTCCTATAGGTCAGTGATGTCTAGAGGTCAGCTCCAGGAAGAACTGTTGTCCCAGCCCCTCTTCACACCTTAGCACCTTTACTTAACTGTCTTTTCCTAAGGCCTGGGACTTCCTGAGGCAGGTATCTCCTCTTTTAGTTCCCCAGCACCCAGTATACTGCCTGGAATGCAGGAAATGGTTGCTAAAGGAAACATTCATCAAGTGCTTCACCTGTAAAAGCCCATAACACTTTACTGTACAGGATCCTCGCAGCTGCCCTGTGCACTGGAAGCTACAGGTAAGGAAACTGTGGCTTTCGGGCTGTTAAGTGACTGGCTCAAGGCTATACAGTGGCAACTTCCAGGCCTCCAGGAAGGTCCATGGGAAAGTAAAGGAGTAAGAGGAATCTTGATGAATTGGGGCAATTGGCAGGCGGTAATTGTCAGTCAAAAATAATGGGCTCAAATTATTAGGTGTGAAAAAGGAACCAGTCAGAGCTTCCCCACTGAATTGCTCAGAAGAGGTTAATGGGAGTGACTCCTTAGCAGAACAAAGGGCGGGTCCCTGCAGGGCGGGTCCCTGCAGGGCGGGACCCTGGGGTGAAGACCCAGCTCTTCTTTGGCTGGTCCTAGCACAGAATACTGCCAACCTAACTTTGCCCCTAGGAACCTTCAGGGTACGTCATTCTCTTCAACATGAGGTCTCCTGGGGGAACAGTGCCCCCCCCATCACTCTGCTTCCAGGTGGCACCTTCCCTTTGAAAAAACCTTCTTGCTGTCTTGGCAGGACCTGCATCTCAACGTTTACAGTGTGCTAAGATCCTGTGGTGTGCTTCCATGGCCCAGCTAGGGGCATTCATACCTACCGGGCTGGTCTTGGGACGAAGGTAGGGGATGGCTGAAGGCAGGAGTTTAGGGAGCTCCGTGCGGATGCCGTGCAGGGCAATGCCAAAAGTGGCCTTTCTCCCAGGTGGGCTCAAGGTTAACAGATAGAAGGGCTGCGGGAAAACGCTCCACTAATAATTATGTACATTTACTAAGCCCTGGGAGGGATGGTAGTCACGTGGCTCTCGAGGGCGGTGCTCTCAGTTTTTGAGATGGACTCAACTCTAATCTCTGAAGGCTTTCTGGAGGAGGCGGGATTTTTTTTATGGCAATCCATTTTGGTTTTCTCTGAACAGCGAGGATGCACTTAGCACTCTAGGGACCACCTAGCTCCCCAGGTGAGATTTTTCTGGGGAGCAAGCCCAGGGGAAGCCCAGACAGAATCGGACTGGGTTGGGGAAGGGCCTGGGGGGCTGGAGTCGCGGGGTCAACCTGGACTTGGGTTCTCCGCCCTGCACTTGTGCTGTCTTGGAAGACTAAACGTGCCGAGGCCGTGCTAGGCCGGTGCTGCGAGGTCTGGGGCGCTGGGTACAGGCCTCGAGGTCCGAGGCGCCCGAGAACAGAGGGCCCCAGACTAGGGATTAGGCCGGCAAGCTTGGCCGGGCCAGCCCGGCGGTCCGCCCTGCCAGCGCAGTTCCGCTGGGGTCCCGATACACGGGACACAGGGGCGAGGCGCGCGCTTCTCGGGGAGCCGGGCTGCGGAGCAGGCGGCCAGCGCGGGGCGCCGGTGGCACGAGAGGGCCATCTGCCTGGGTGCCAAGAGCTG